TCCAAACTACAGCTCAAGCTGGAGTGGACAAGCAGTGCACAAGGGTGGCTAAATGTCACATTTATGGCAGAGTGGAGGTTAAACCCAGCTGTGAGGGTGGAGGAAAGCAGCCCCGTGGAGGGGACATGTGAGCTGGTTTGTGAAGGAGAAAGGATTTCAGCCAGCAACGGGCAGGGGAAAGGCCCTCCAGGAAGAAGGAAAAGCATGAGTAAACTTAGGGTGTGTGTGTGGAACGGCCAAGTGGTTCGAAGAGGGGTGAGGCTTCCCATATGACTAGGATGTGGAAGCTGGTTGCAGGAGAGGACAGTGCAGTGTGAGAAGGTGATTGGAAAGGTCACAAAGAGCCTTAAATGACACACTGAGGGGCTTATGCTTTATCTTCCTGTGGGTGATAGAGAGTAGCCAGAAGCTTCTCAGCAGGACTTGATATTGGGACTGTCAGATGGTCAGCTGCCTGAGCTGCACTCTCATTGAGGTGGGGCGACAGAGGTGGTGGGTAGTATGACAGAGCATTTTAGCCTGGCAGGCTGCCCAGGAGGAGCTGGAGATAGGAGGGTGGTCAATGCTAGCTCTGGAAGCCTGGGGCATGGAGTAGGGGGCCCAGCCTGAGTCTGTCTCTCCTCCTTGACCCATTTCCTGGCTCCTGCCTGCCACCCCCTACCACCACAGGCACCTGCTCCTCCCCCCCACAGCCCTTTCTAGCCAGCATTTGGCCCAGCCCTGCAGGGGGCCTCTGTGGTCAGGTCTTTGTGCTTGCACAGTGGCCCTCTTTGTCCCAAGCAGCCCCCTCCCCCGCCTCCCTCCTGTCCGCCTCTGCCTTGCCTGTGTTACAAAAAGCCCAGTTCTTCAGAGAGACAGGCCAGGGCTCTGATCTTGGCTTTCCCTGTTGAGTCTCTGTGTGACCCTGAACAAGTCGGTGCTTCTCTGAGGCTTAGGTTTTTGGTCTTGTGAAAAGGAGCTGGTGAGGAATCAAACTCCTGGCAAGAACTGGTCTGCTGCCCAGTGCTGAGACCTAAACTACAGAGGACATCCATGGGAGCCCTGCCCGACCCGCATGCTCTCCACTGAGCCTCCTACTTACATCTCCAACCTCATCCTCACCCCTGCCTGGCCACATGGCCATCATTCTCCCATTTGGCAGATGACAAAACTAAGGCCTGAGGATGGGGCTGGCTTCATGAGTGTGTAACCTGGAGAGTTTTACACAGGGCCCCATACTTCAAATGGCCATGCACTTGATTTAATGCTTTGCTGTCCCATCTTGAAATTCTTACTCATTTTTTAACAAGCGACTTGCATTTTCATTTTGCCTGGGTCCCACAAGTTATGTAGCTGGTCATGCTTGTAAGGACGTGAAGCAGAGGCTTACCCAGGCCTGGACCAGACTTTCAGTCTCCCAGACTGCCTTCCCTGGGTGCCTGCATTCTGGCAAGCCAAGAGCCAGAGCTTCAGGCTGCATTTGGCATCAGAGGCCTGGCCCTGAACTGGGAAACCTGAGGAGCACAGTTCCCGGCCAGCAAGGGAGGAAGGATGGTCCAGGCCAAGAGCAGTCCAGAAAGCAAGCAATATGAGGCTGCTGGAGCCAGCCCAGCCCTGTGTAACCAGAGTCAGCAGTGTGGGTCCCAACGCCGTGGCTCAGCTATCACTCAGGGAACTCAGCAGCGCCTTCCTTCCCAGCAAGTTGTCAGCAAATTTGGACATTTGCTTCCCTTTTCTGAACCTCAGTTTCCCTATATGTAAAATGGTAATGATAACATCTACCTCACAGGGTTCTGATGATGATAAATGAGATATGTTAACATGATGACTAGCACAAAGAAGGTGATCACTAAATTGTGTTCTTACTCATGCACTCATACAACAAATATCCATGGAGGCTGACCAGGTGACAGGGACATTTAACTGGGTGCTGGGAGTTTAACTATGAACAGGATAGACCCTGGCTCAGCCCCCAAGGGGATCCCCATCAGAGGGAAGATTGATATTCATAGTGATGACAGTGTGGTGAATGGTGTGACAAAGGACGCACCTGGGCTGGGCCTTATAGGAGCAATAAGGACCAAAGAAGTCTCTATTGCTCCTATAGGCAGAGAAGCATGAAGAGGCATTGCAGATAGAGGGAGAAGCAAGGGCCAGGCTGGAGGTGGGTGAGGGCCCAGCACTTTAACATGACTGGATCAGAGGCAGGAGGGGAGGCAGAGAAGTGGGGGTGGGGGCTGGTGTGGCAGGATGAAGAGCCAGGCTTTATCTTCATGATGGTGGGGCCACCTAAGGGTGTGAGACAGGGGCTGGCTGTGCATGTGTGTGTGCGTGCATGTGTGTGTGTGTGACAGAAACACCACCTTAGCCTGTGAAGGAGAGCTTGGAGGTATCATATCCCAGCTGAGCAAGGATGCCTGAGTCACAGCAAGGGCTTCACCCCAAGTGCAGATTCTCAGAGAGGAAGGTTCTCTCAGAGGAGAAGAAAGAAGTCAAGAGAAGGAAGACAGAAGGTTTGAGAGAGCCAAATGCCCCCTCAGTGTTGGAGAGAGAGGAAGCCTCGTTCTGCATGTGGAAAAGGGACCCTGGGCCTGCCCTTTCCCATCCTGACCTGCTGCTGCTAAAGGAACCCTGCCTCCCTCCTACCTCCCATGGCTCCATGACCCTCTTGGGGACCATTATGGGCCTGGTCCTCACCACTAGCCTGTCTTAGCTGTTGGCAGGAGGAAGGCTTCCTTCATGCTATTCCCCCTTCCAAATGGGGCCTTATGTGGGGCTTGCTGGACCTCAAATTTCCTGGCTGGGACAACGGGTCTAAAGTCTTTTAGCCATGGAAACTTCTATATTTTTCCAACAAAGTATTACCAGGAAATGTAAATGAATACAAAGATAAAAGCAAAGGTGCTCCGGTTGAAGTGGGAAGGGAGCTCCTCAGGCAGCCCCAAGTAGGGTGGACTCAGCAAGGGGATTTGGAGCCTGCTGAACTTGATGATCTCTAAAGCCCAGTGGTGAGTGTCAGGGGAAGATGTCAGGAGACCTAGACTTCCAGCCCCTCATTAGAGGGGATACTAGCCCCTTGAGCCCAGGCCAGCTCAGGATGATGGGTAAAACCCTGAAAAAAGAACCCCAGATGAACCAGTGAGAAAGGGGCTGTTATTACCATTTTGCAGAAAAGGAAACTGAGGTTCAGAGAAGAGTAACCAGAGAGGTGAATCAAGACCAGAACCTGAACCCAAGGCTGTGTGCAAGCCAAAATTCAAGGACAAGTCTCTTTTCTCTGCTCCTCAGGCCTCACTAAGTCACTTGTTGGGGTAGTTTAGACACTACGTGTCTCAGGAATGCAGTTTCCTTGGCTGCAAAGTAAGGGAGTTGAGTCAGAGCAGGACTCTGGGCTGCCCACTCTCCAACTGGCTAGAGACTGAGGCAGAGCCCTGGGTCCTGATTTTGGTATCAAAGAAATTTTGTTCTCTTGTGCTAAGCAGCATTTACAGTAGAGGTCTGAAGGCTTGGAAGGGAGAGGAGAGAGGGGTATTGGCTGGGGCCTACAGTGCCCAGGGGGACTTCCGCACTGGGACCCCAAAGCCTGGGCTCCACAAGCTGGGATTCCTAGCTCTGTAGAAGCTGCATGGACTGACTTGGACAATAGATGAAGGAGGCTAGATAAGGGGCCTTTGTGTCTTCTAGGCAGAGGTCCCTATGGGACTGCAGAGGCGGCTCAGCCACACAGGGCTGAGTGTTCACTCTGTTCCCACTCCTGGCACAATAGCAACCAGCATCCTTCCTGGGCCCCTCCTGGGGCCAACAGCCAGGTCCCAGTCAGCTGATGTGGGGCCCAGCAAGACTCAAGGCCCCAGGACCCTGGGCAAGCTCTTTGGCTACAAAAAGAGACCTCTTCTGCACTTTAGAGACACTGACCATCCCAAACCCTGGATGGATGGATATTGGTTGGCAGGAGGGTGGATGTGACTGTCTCTATTTCACAGAAAAGGAGGCCCTGAGAAGGACTGAAACTGGCTCAAGGTCTCCCAGAGTCAGTGCTAAAGCTGAGCCAGAACCTACATTTCTGACACCTACACCAGAATGAGAGACAGGGGCATCCATTCCTACATTCAGCAAGTATTGAGCAACTTTTGGGATCTCTGGGACCTGCTGCAGGAAGAAGACAGACCTGGTGCCTGCTCTCCTGGAGCTCACAGTCTAGGAAAGGGGCAGATACAGGGTCCCTGACCACAGAAGGCCATCCTATTGGAGTTGAGGGCAGAAAAGGGAGTAATGTGTGTGGCTTGAGTAGCCTGAGAAGGCAGTTCAAGGGAAGCAGCTTCAGATGAGGAACCAAAACCAGCAGGGAGTTCAGGAAATTTCCAGTGGCTCTTTCTGGCTGAGATTAAGCAAAGGAAGCACAGGGGAGGCTCCCAACTCTGCTCTCTGAAACTGGAGAGAGGCAGGACCCTGAATGCCTGGATTTCCTCCCTAGGGAGTGAGGAGCACCCTCTCCCCGCTCCTGGTCTAAAGCAAGGTGTGCGAATTCTCAGCGAGTCGCGCTGAGCAGGATTCTGGGAGGAGGGGGCACGGGTTCTCGGAAAGGTCTGGCGGTGGGACAGAAGGGAGCCACACAGCCACCAGGCAAACCGCAAACTGAGCGTCTCTGAAACCTCTCCTCATCTTGTGCGAGGCAGGCGCGCGGCCCCGGCCCCCCCGGGCGGTGGGACAGTCGGTGCCGAGCCCTGCCCGCGCAGCGTCCGCAACGGGTATCGCGGGCGGCGTCCGCGGCAGGTGGCCCGCGTCCGGCGGGGCGGGAGCGGGGCGGTGCCAGGGTCTGTCCAGAGTCCGCCACGCCCCCGCCGGCCAGTCGGCCGGCCGGGTGGGGAGCGAGGCGGGGCGGGCGCGGCTCCCAGGCACGTGGGTCGCGGCGGTGGCGGCGGCGGCGGGACGCGGGCGCGGGCACCCGGCAGCGGCGGCCGGGGCAGCCGCGGCGGAAGAGCGTCCCGCCGAGGTGAGCGGCCGGCCGCCTGGAGGGGTCAGAGGCGGGGCGCGACGGGTGCGGGCTCGGCGCGGGGCCGGCGGAGTGGGCACTTCTGTGAGCGCGTCGGTGGGCCGCTGGTCGAACTTGGGCGCCACTGGAGCATGGGTCTCGGGGAGTGTGGGCGGATAGTCCGGTGAGTGTGCGTCCGCGTATTTGGGATCGTCTCTGTGTCAGTGGGGAGTGCGTGCGCCGCTGCGGGGTCAAGTGGCCGAACCTGTGGGACTTGTTTGTGTTTGAGCGCTTTGGTGTGAGCGTCCCCATGGCGTGGGGCCGCAGCCAGAGACCCGCAAACCCCGGCAGTCCCGCTGCGCCCCCTGAGCCCAGGGGCCCTTTGGGTGGCCTGTCCTGCCTGGGCATCGGTAGGACTAGGGGGACTGAGGCAGTGGCCTGAAAGGACAGTTAAGCCTCTGTCAGGGGACTTTTAATCTGGCAGGCGGGGCTGTAGGAAGAGTCAGTCTGGAGAAAGCCAGTGCCCTCCGCTCCCCAACCGGAATGGCCAGTGGCGGACTTGGAGCCCCAGGACCCAGATCCAAGGGCCGGCCCAGCTGCGGACTAGAACTTACAGTCTGGGGTCTGTGGAGTTGGTGGCAGCTGTTGCTTTCAGCATGGCATCCCCTGCTTCCCTGGGCCTGCAGCCTGAGGTGCTTGTTTGTTTTGGGGTCCAGGCTGAAATAATGGAGAGCTTTTGAGGCCAGGGTGGGCGCTGGTAAAGTGTCAGTTATCTGTAGGTAGGAGTGGTTGAGAAGGACATTATTTGAGCAGACAGGGCCCAAAAAATGTATCTGGAGACTTAGAGACCTATATTCCAATCCTGCCCTGGTCACTTTGTGATGATCCCGGGCAAGGCACATCCCTTCTCTGAGCATCAGTGGCCTGGTCTGTAAATGGGGAATAATAGTGATGAACTTCAGGGCTGTTGAGGAGCTAATGTGTGTGGCTTATGTTCAGCACCGATGTCCTCCTGGACTGGCTCACTGCTAGGGGGTGGGGGTAGGGTCAGTCCCTGGAGGGAACTTTCTAAAACTCAAATCCTAGCTGTTCTCCTCTAGGGGTTAAACTGTCACCAAACTTCCACAGGAGCTTAGCCTGCAACTCAAGGCCTCCAAAAACTGTTCCTTGCCAACCTTTCCAGCCGCTTCTCCCACCTAACTCTTCAGCTTCTAGGAACTACATGTAGTCTGCACATGCTGGGCTAGTTGCTTGCCCCCGGACCATTGCGTATTATCTGCTTGAAATGCCCTCTTAGTCTCCTCTTCCTCAGTTGGAAAACTACCCAGTCATAAGGCCCAGCTCAGATATTCTCTCATCTGGGGAGCCTTCCTTGATTCCCCAGCTAGGTTGGAGCCTCTTCTGGGCTCTTGCACTCCCAGTGCTGAGCCCCCATCCCACCTTGGACTGTTATGATCTCTGTCTGTCTCTTCCTTCTCTCTCTATCCAGATCTGGAGCCCCCTGGAGGGCAGGAACTGAGTCTCATGCATTTCTGTGTTGCCAGAACCCTGCACAGGGCTGAGCTAAACTAGGAGAACAGCAGCAGCCCCTAGCCCCTGCTCCCTGTCCCCGCTTCCCCAGTGAAGGCCTGTCTAGAGTGGAGTGCCATGTCATAACAAAGAAGGGGAAACCAGAATCAGGTTGTCAGCGTGAGTGGCACAAGTTGTCAGAAGAGCATGCCCTGGAGCACTACAGGACCCAGAGTGTGCAAGTGTAAAATTTGGATTTCATCCTGAAGGAAATAGGGAGCCATGGAATGTTTGTGAGCAGGGGGAGATTAATGTTCAGAATGGCATTTCAGAAAGATCTCTGTGGCTGCAGGATGGAGAATGGTTTGAATAGTGTTAAGTACATGGAGGTCAGAGCATTTGTGAGGTTGATACCAGAATCGTACAGGCATTGTTCGAATTCTGAGCCCTTGTCCCTTTGGCCAAACATTTCCCTGAGTCCTCGGATGCTTCTGATGAAGAATTTGGGGATACTTAGAACTCTCCCCAGGTGGGAGCCAGGAGACCTGCAATTGATCTCATCTTAGCTCTTCCCCCAACTTGCTGGATGACCTTGGGGGCAGTTCCTGCCCTGCCAATCTCTAGGAGGCCAGAAGCAGTAAGGTCCTGTGTTGACAGTATGTGTGTGCACAGGCCCTGGCATAGATGGGTTGTTACTCTCCTCTTCTTCCTGCCTTGGGCTGTCCTGGGGGTCTGGCCAGGGGGATTGGTGGATCACACCAGGCAACACTCATAAATGGCTGCCAAGCTGGGGCTGCAGAGTGAGGCTGTACCCCCCTCCATTCCTGTCCTCTTCCTGCCCAGGATGCACAGTGCTCTGATGCGCCAGGATCCTCCAAGGACCAGCTAAATGAGTGTGAGAACATCATCAGGGCCCCATGGGTGGCCCGCAAGTGCTTTGATTTGGCTTCTCTCCTAGCTGTAGGCCCTAGAGAGGCAGCTGTGCCCCTCTTGGTGGCACTTTTGCAATCTGTAAATTGGGCATAATAGTTCTTTCCTCTTCAAATGCAGGGTTACTGTGAATATTCTTAAGACAGGAAAGGGCTGTGTAAGCTGTAAAGAGCAATGCCCGGGGGAGAAGGGTGATACTCACAGACCTAAATGCATTTAAAAAATGATAAGAGAACATGGGTACAATAGCATGGGATAGTGCTAATTATTGGAATTAACTACTGACTATCTTCTTCTCCCTGTTGCCCCCTCTCCAAAGACAGCTTACTAGTAACTGTTTATAAATGTCCCTCATCTTATGCTCCACCAACCCTCTGAGAGAGGAATTATTATTCCCATTTTGCAGATGAGACTCAGAAATATCTTTCCCAAGGTCACAAAAAAGAGGTGAAAGCTAAGGCTTCTGCCTACTTGCCCCAGCTTATCCCTCCCCCATTCAAGAGAGAAGCCCCATCTGAGTAAGGCCTGGTCTTCTGGCTTTCAGGCTGAAGGAAGTCTGAGTCTTGTCCTGAGAACACGACTTCAGGTCTTCTTGTGGCCTGATTACCCAGCTGCCGAAAAGATAATGTCTGCTCAGGCTGCCCACAGGAGCAGGAAGCCTTGCTGATCTGGTGAGAGGAGGTGGAGATGCCCCTGGTGAAATCTGTCCTCTCCTGGAACTGCTTTCTGTGGGCCTGGCTGGTGCGCCCTTTGACACACACTTTTCCTCTTGGTCTGCCTTTGTGTCCGCAGGCCAGCCTCTCCCAGCCACTGGGCCCTGATGGGGGGAGGCTGGCTGCAGGAGCCTCCCCTGACCTCTGCACTCATCCTAGGGGTCAGCTGCAGGACAAGGCCAGACCACATCACCCAGCACAGGTTGGGCACAGAGCAGGTGCCAATGAATGTTTGGGAAATGAAGGATCAGGTGAAAGTGAGTGGATAGTGGAAGAGGAGGGCCTTGCTCCTCTTCCTGCCCTCCCCTGTCACCCCATCTCCTAGGCCTATAGTCCAGGGTGAGTAGCTGGAGTCCCTGAGGGGAGGGTGGGCAGCCTGGGCCCTCCTGGGCAGTGGCTCCCTCCTTAATCCTCTACCCTGATACCCTGTCACCATCACAACAATAACACTGCCTGGGCCCTGGAGCTTGAGAGGAGGGCCTCCTTTAGACTTCAGCCCGCATGAACTCCCCTTTACCCCCTGACTCCCCTGGGGGTCAGAGGGGTCTCCTAGCACTGCTCTGGCTTCCCTGTGATTGCCTATCTTCCCCAGCGCCCACTGTGGGAGGGGATGTCTTGCTGTGGCTGGGCTGTGGCCCTCAGGATGCGCCCCATCTCACAGAGAGTCGAGGGCCAAGGGGCCAGCTTCTCTCGCTGAACCATTGAATGTGTAGTCTCCACCTTCATCTCCCTGCCTTCAAGTCCCCCTTCCTGTCCACCTTCCATGTGGCATCATCTTTGTAAAGGTCAACTCTGACCATGTCTTTCCTTGTTTAAACCCTGCCATGGCTCCCCATTGTCCTCGGGATAGAGGCCAACCTCCTCAGCATGGCATTCAAGCCTTTTCATATGTGTCTCAGGCCCCACACGTCTGGTGCCACCTAACCCTGCACCCAGTGTCTCAGACCCCCTGTCCTTCTGACAGGCCACACTGTCACATCACTGAGTCTCTGTGCATGCTCCTCCTGCCTTCATTGCCTTCCTACCTTTGTTGTCCACGTGACAAACTCCTAATCATCCATCATCTCCCCTTTCAAATGATGTCTCCTTTGGGAAGGTCTCCCTGACCACCTTCCCAGGCTAGTTAGGGCTTCCCATGATCATGGCTTAATCACCCAAGTGGACGTGGTCCATCTCTGTGTCTTTCTCCCCACTCAGACAAGTTCCTCAAGGGCCTGACAGCCTGATCTGAGTCTGGGTTTGCAGGGTCCCTCTGACATCAGGCACATGGGACCATTGGCAGGTGTTTGTTGAGACTCTGTGGCTCTTGGCAAAGTGATTTATGGTTGTGATACTCTGCGAGTCCAGACTCCTGTGGTTCTGAGAATCTCAAATCAAAGGCTACCAGAAGCAATGAGTAACAGAATTGAAGTAACATTTATCACTGACTCCTAGAACGAGAGACTCTTGGAATTAGACTGTCAGAACCAATGAGCTCAGGCTCCTGGAGGCACCCAGAATGAGCAATCTCACAATCATAGACTTGCTATATTCTGCTCTACATGTCTGTCCCTTTTTCTACCTTGGGTTCTCCATTCTCCTCTTTCTCCTCCCAAATTGGACCCTTGCTGCTTCTCTTGAAATCTGATCGTAGCTCCTTGCAGGCGCCTTCCCTAACTACTCTGACCGTAACCCCTGCCCCACTGCTGGTTCACCAGGGGTGGCAGTGGCCGGGGAAGGGGGGCAGTGCTGCCTGCTGAGAAGTGTCTTGGTGTCTGTCTGTTATGGGGAGACACAGCCTCCTCATCAGCAGGTGCATGATTTGCCAGCCCCTTGGAGCCCCCTCCTGCCCCGTCTTGCTCATCCCTCATGGGCTGTCTGCTTTACAGGTGGTTCTCCCCATTTGACAGTGAAGAACCTGAGGCTCAGAGAGGGGAACTGATGTGACCAAAATTTCAGAGCATGGGTGGTTCCCGGTCAGAGCCTCCACTCAGGATCTTTTCCTCTTGAGTCTGGCCGGAGGCGTTTGGGTGTGATAGGTCAGGGTGGAGTC